TCTGCTAAGTTTCCATCCCACTGTGTCTGACCTTTAGGCGTGCTAGCGGGCAGGTTGTAGGCACACGCTGGCACCGCTACCTCTATGGGGGCTGAGGGTGCTGCTACGGCCCGGTAATAGTTGTCGTGGAGACGGATGCCCTGGTGTTCGGTCGGGGGGAGGACGGTGTTCGCCACCACCTCTGCAGCCTTCTGGATCTTATCCAGCAGAGAGTCACCGCCTGCTGGGAGACACACACGTTAACACAGTAGATAAGCTTGATTTGTGTGTGTGTGTGTGTGTGTGTTTGTTTGTGTGTGGTGGTGGTCCATCACTTACCTGTCGCCTGTTTCCCAGGACTGTATCCAAAGCCCTGCATTCCTGACCTGTGTGTGGTTGCTGAGCCCATTCCTGGAAACAGAGACATGTTGTAATGAAATCTAAAGTATTCAAAATACATGAGCAGATGTAACTCTATACGCTATCAACAGATGGATATTGTCATTATAAATTGGCAAAACTCACCCATTGTTGGAGGGGCTAGGTTGGGCGGGGAGACGCTGCCTTTGGTGGAAATTGTATCTGTGAAAAGCAACCTGGCCACTTCCTGCAGACAAAAGTTACATTTGAGTGTGTTTGCCTTACTGACACAGTTTTATGTTTGACATAAATATTAGGCTCACCTGTGCGGTGTTTCTAACTTTCTGGTACAACGCTGTGCCGTGGATAGGATCAGGAGGGCCGCTGTAAACTTAAAAAATCAAAAACACACAACAGCGAGTGAGTATCCAGCTGACAGAGCAAACTCATGAGAGTCAAACGGAGCTCAAAGCACAGCGTCTAACCTGATGCTTGCTGGATGAAGGTGGAGTTCCTTCGCAGTTCTGTGAGGAAATGGTTTGAACCATGACCGCACAGATGGACAAAGATCTTCAGGACCTGAAACACCAGGAGCATGAACAGAACACAGAGTTACTCACAGGCAGGAAAGGGAGGAAAATCCCCAATAAATGATATGAAAGACTTGAATAATAAAACTGCTCTCACCTTTATTTTGACATGGCAGGACTCCACTTGCAGCCTCTCAAGAAGATACTCCAACAAACACTGACCGCAACCTGACGACTCATGGGAGATTTCTACAGTGATATGGTGGTTAAGGATATGTTGGCAAGGTTTCCTGGTTAGAATACTCGAAGATAAGTCTTGTTTAATCGATTAATTGTTTGTTCTGTACAATGTCAGACAACAGTAAGCATGTCCATTTTTTAAAGTTGAGGGTTATGGCTTTAAATGTGTTGTTTTGTCAGTCAACAACCCAAATATATTCAGTCTAACATGACATTCAACAACAACAACAAAAGCACATCATCTCCATATTTGAGAAGCTGAAAACAGTATTTTGTGGCCATCTTGAATGTGTGAAGTCGACTTATAGCTGCAGCTCTACATTGAAAAATGAACTTCAACACTTTAAAGCATAATGTTTACAGCGATACGCTTAACATGTGATTTACCACTTTGTGTAGATCACAGACGAACCATTCACCAGCCATCAGATGAATTCATCTATTGCATGTGAGATAATAAGTACATTCAGAGTTTGCAGCTGCTGGCTGGACCACAACAGAAGCTGAGAAAAAGGATACTCCCAATGTCTTGGAAAAGGTATCCAGGGCAGGGGTTTTCATCATCTGCTGTAGCCTTCATCAGAGTCGGGACCTACAGTTAGTGGAAAGCATGAAGTGGAAAACAAGTTCAAAGCTGACACGAAGGGACTGTGATGTATCCCATGAGCAAAGCACAGTCCACATACCAAAACATTTTATATCAAGCTAACCTGTGTACTTTATAGATGCAGATGTGACACAGATATGAACCAGGGTCTGTTTATCAGATGACTTTGACCAAACCGGTAGTTATAACAATGCTCTATGCCTGTCAGTTGCTTTAAAATCCAACTAAAACATCTGCCAGGTCAAATGAGAAATGAAGAAATGTGTTCTTCTTGCTGTTAGCTATCAAGCTAATGGTAGCACAACTTAACAGGTTTAAATAGACATGTTAACGTACGTCACACCCATCATACTCCATTCAGCTGTTAGTGGTTTTAACAGCTTGTAATATTGACCGTAAACAGCACTTACTTTCTGAAGAAAAGCAAATCTTTCCATAAATGTTGCCATGATTTAGCAATCCTGGCTGCTGGTTACTCATCTTCCTCCGAGGGGTACGAGAGGAGGCGGAGCTAGAGGTGACAGCCAGCCAATCACAGAACAGCAAGTAGCTATATTACATTCTATTGGCGTTCCGGTTCCGCCTACGTTCGGAAAACAACGAATCAGATTCAGGAAATCCTTATGATTGACGTGGAAGTAAGCGAATCACAGTACCCTATATCATGCTGGAGGTTTCCTTGATGACAGGGGCTGCTTCTCAGGTCGATTAAATGAAATCCTTGCTTCCCTCACTTGAGTCGTTTCCCTGCGTTTAGTCCCTCCCACCAGGGAAGCATGGAGGGACGCAAGGAAACCACGAGAAGCAGGGAAATGAGTTTTAAGAGCAATGGGACGTCCTTTCCTCCGGAGCGTCACGTGAAGCGACGTCCGTTTGTGATGACGCTGCACAGCTGATCGTCTGACAGCAGCTCTGTCCCCGTTATTTCCACACACCCCCCCGCCTCTGTTAGCACACATTTACTGACACAAACATTTGTATCATCTGTTGTAGATCCCAATAAATAAAATAAAATAAGAACTAATTCTCAAAAAAGATAAACGCCATTCTTAAAATTTATAAACGATCAATAGTTTGATTAATATTGATTAGAGTAAACAATAGAAATAAAATAATTGAGAGAAGAAAAAGAGATGTTATCTATCAAAACCCAGTTAGATTAACATTCATTGGATTGCACACTTTGTTTGTTTGGATATGTAGTAAATTAACATTTTAATAGCACTTAATGACTGACTGAATGGAAATGACAATAAATGAAAATGTAAAACGAAAAAAGCGATCATGAAAATGTTTCCAAAAAATGAATTAAATGATTTTTGACCACTTTGTTGTTCAGATATATGACATATTTGTAACTAAATGATACATGAATTGAAACAAAACACGGTATAAACTGAGGAGTGACTCTCGTGAGGTTCATGTATTTTCTTCACTCTGCTCTCATGTCAAGAAGCATCAGATCAGTGCATGCACTGCCTCGTCCAATCAGTGAGCGATGCACAGTAAGGGGGCGGGGTGAGTATCTGAGGATTTCATCGGAGGATGGTCTGGTGGTTCCTCGGTTATCGCTCCTCCATTATCGCTCCTCGCTCCTCGATCCTCGGTCCTCCGGCAGAAATAAGAGCCATGGGACGGTACTCAAGATGGCGCAGGCAAATCAACTTCCGGTGAGACCGAGGACCGAGGAGCGAGGAAATGAAAATAGTCGACCTGAGAAGCAGCCAGGGTCAACAATATGGCGCTGCCCATGGATGACAGAAATGCTTCATCTGCTAGTTGATGTTTATTTCTTAGTTTAAATGCTTCATGAGCTCCCTTTTAAATTGAACACACGGTGAAGCATTATCTGTTCACCTGTGCTGTGTTCTTTAACCTAAAGGAACTATTGTAACACCCGAACAGGAACCATGTCTGTGTCAAATGCATGGAGTCGCAGTCGAGAGAAATTGAGACTTTTCCCGGAACTTTTTGCACAGTGTTCACCAGAGGTAAGCTCTGTTTTATATAACTTAGCAGGGGAAATATTGGTATGCTATTACGTGTGCCTCTAGAGTTCACATTACAATACATTGCAGCTTTACCATCTGTAGTGTGCTCCTAACAAAGACAAATCAGTGTATTATATCATCTTCAAATCTGTGGATCTTGATAACTAATGCTGATGAAACATATGTACATTTATTCTTTAGTGTGAACGTTAAAATGACGTGTTGGGCTGCTGTTAATTATCATGTCATCAATACCACTAATGTGACTCAGTGTTTCACTATTATAAGGTACACCTGCATTACTATACATATCTCTAGCAGTTGCTGTTAACTTTCTTAATAGCTTATTTATGAACAGAAGGTTTATGTTCACAACCCCCTTTGTTTGATTTAATTTAAAGCTTAACTCTCTTGTTCTTACTTAAATAAGAAAACATGAGGTGAAATTAATTTCTGTTTTTTATTATGTCCTTTAAAATATTTTATTATTATTTTTCTATTTAATTATGAAATGTCCAATTTTTTTCTCTTATTGCATTGTTTTATTTTTGAAAAAAAATCATGTAACGTTCGGCCATCCTTTGATGTTTTGGGTGGACCAGATATGTCCCTTTTTTTTGTGAGAATTTCCTTTGATATGTGATTTTTATTTTTTTAAATCACTTTATATACCACCATAGACAGAAACTGAAAAAGATAACTAAGATTATTATTCTCTGTCCAATGTCACCAACCCAGGCAGCAACATATGGGAAGTGTGTGTCCGCCTCTACAACAGGCAGACAGGAGCTGAAGAAGGACATGTGTGCTAAAGAGTTTCAAGCACTGAAGACCTGCTTTACAAATGCAGTAAGTTACAAAGTTAGTAATCCTCCTGATTGTTTTAGTGATCAAAAGAAGTTCATGAATGAAAAACGACTCTTTTTATGACAGGCCAAGAGGAAAGCCAAATGATGGAAACTATCCTGGCTGTTAAAGCGGACATAAAACTTTGAGAGGAGAAAACATGAAGTGTTGATGGACCTCTGGTGCTGACAGCGTATCTTGATAACTCTTCCTGGTACTGTTAATTATCTAAATGTGTGTAATGTAATAAAAAAATCACTTTTTTATGACGTTGATATGAAAGCTGCATGTTGTTGCAATACTGACATTACGGCTCGAGTTCAGGGCGTTCCGAGCTGAATAAGGACGGCAAGACGCCCCCTGGTGGACACGCTGATAAATGTAGAGGTGAATACAACATCTATGATATGACCTGTCTCTGAACACAAGCAGACCAAGAGCCATGGATGTAATATAGATGTTTTTATTTAATATTTTCAGCAAAATGTACAGAAATACAATGCACATAGAAAAATAGAACATAGTTTCTTGTACAAAGCAAAGGTCCAACATGTGCCGCCCGATGGAGGAATTTCTGGGGATCCATTTTCTTTCATTGTCCTTAATATAATATCATTTCCTCATGATTACTGTTCTCTTTGCAGTAGGAGTTAAAGCACACGTTGAGGGAACAAACGGCAGCATGTGGATTAGAAGGCACTCGTAAACCAAAAAGGAACAGGTATCGAAGGTGGGATGATTTGTAACTCGGGATCGAGCTCCTCCATCGTCCACAGTTTATAAACCTCATAGCTCTGAGGCTGAATTCACCAACTTCCATTTGAAAGTTGAAATATTACATTATGTACATCTTGGAGTAACAGATAAACACAAACTAAACATAAAAGCAGCCCAGGAGACAACGCCTAAAGACAAACAATAATACATCCAGGCTTTCTGAACACTTTACAGAAGGGTCTTTGCATAGATTTACATACATTTCAACAGCAACCTCTTCATAACCCTCCTCCCTAAAGACAAAGATAAGTTAATATTTACATGTACTTTGCTCTTTAATAAACGTTGTGCTTCTCCAGAGTACACAGTATGAAGGAATAGAAGTTTTCCCTCTTTGTCCATATCTTCTTGAAGCAGGAAAGGATGTGAGGCACCGGTCTCGTGGTCCACAGAGAGAAGTTTGTGCTGGAGTGAGAATGTGTTTCATTTAGCTCTTTCGTCCTCGGGGACCTGCTTAATCTGCCGCGAGTGCACCATGGCCCCGGCCAGCAGCTGCTCCTCCAGGGCCACGTGCAGGTCGGAGCCCCCCAGCTCCAGCAGGGGCTCCAGGCCCGGCACCCCCCTGGACCCTCCAGCTCCTCTGGTTCCCAGTGCTCGGCGCCTCCTCCTCAGATCTATCTCTCCCTGGCCCCTGACCTTCTCCTGGGAGCCCGGAGCTTTGACGGCCCCCTCCTCCTCCTCCTGAGCTTTCTCTTTGAGGTCTCGTCCTCCTTTCTTCAAAGCTTCTCCCTGCGCTGCCTTTCTGTCTTCCATCTGGGCTTTCCTCTCCTCAGCCTTCTCCATCTTCACTCCCTCCACTATTTCATTGTTGTGCATCTCCCGCTTTAGTCTCTCTGCTGCAGCCTTCTCCGTGTCTAGTTTCTCCTTCGCCGCCCTCTCCCTCTCCCTCTCCCTCTCCCTCTCCCTCTCCTGCTCTCTGGCTAGCTTCTCCCTCCTCTCCCTCTCCAGCCGTTCTTTCTCCACCCTCTCCTGCACTTCTTTCTCCACCCTCTCCAGCTCCTGCTCTCTGGCCAGCTTCTCCCTCCTCTCCCTCTCCAGCCGTTCTTTCTCCACCCTCTCCTGCACTTCTTTCTCCACCCTCTCCAGCTCCTGCTCTCTGGCCAGCTTCTCCCTCCTCTCCCTCTCCAGCCGTTCTTTCTCCACCCTCTCCTGCACTTCTTTCTCCACCCTCTCCTTCTCTAACTTCTCTTCGGCCATCTTTTCCTTTAAGTCTTTCTCAAGCTCAATTATTGCCTGGACTTCTTTTGCTATTTTTTCATTTTCTTTATCTAGGCTTCTTTCTTCTTCTACAACTTGAGCTGCCTTCTCATTGTGAGGTACAGGCTGACGCTCAATGGGTTGTTTCTCTCCCAGCGGCACCCCCCTGGCCCCCAGCTCCTTCTGCGTATGGGGTTCTTTTCCATGGCCGTCCTCTTTGTAAGCCGCCTGAGCAGCTGCTTGAGGAACCTCCTCCTCAGCAGCCTGCTCTTGTTTCTGGACGGGAGGCTCTGCAGCTCCGGCCGCCTCCTTGTCCGGCTTCACGTCCGGTTCCAGGTTGGACTCTATGGGCTTTGCTGCTTCACCTTCCGCCCCCTCCTGGACGCTTTTCTCCGCCTCACCTTCAGCACCTTTGGGTTTTAAAACACATGAATTTACGAAATATTACACTTCCCCGTATGATTTGAAGTTTAGCAAATCTCAGTTTATTTAAATGTAAAAAGACAAATGTTTTGTCACCTATACCTAAGAAAAATCTGAATAAATAATAATAATAATAATGTTATTTATCATTTTGCCCATAATGGTGCAGGATAATGTGCATTTAGCAAGTGCACAGGCAGTTGCCTCTGTAGCAAAATTGCAAGGAAATAGTCCAAAATAATACTTTAAAAAGTCATGGAAAGGTTTTTCGATATTTTAAAAGTGTGTATATTGTCATTATTTCATATGTAATTTAATTCCAGATTAATGGAAGTACTCTATGTTTGTATCGGTGCTACAGATACACAGAATTGGTGGCATAAGGACTGGGCATCATGAAAAACCATTGATGTCTTTATATACAAATAAAGACTTTTTGTATGCGATAAAAAAATGGTTCCAAGAGAAACCACTAATACATATATCAACAAGAATGGTTTAAAGCAGACATGTGACGTCTTCAAATATTATTTCAAGGCCATAGTGCCATGTCTTTAAGGTATTGTGTGTGCACCCACCAGGCAGTCTCTGGTGGATCTCCTTGTGTTGCTCCTCGATGACATGCAGGAGTTTTTCCTGCTGGTCCAGGAGTCTCTTCTGCTGCTCCTGCTGCTCCTTGATCACCTGCAGCAGCACGGCGTGGTCCAGCTGGCCCTCTGCGGGACACAAACAATCAATTAGTAAAAAAAGCTCTGGGGAAATTGATGTTAAGAAGCTTGGTTAGAATGATGTGGGGCCAGTGTCTAGGTGAGAGGGGAAGGGAAATACAATTGCTCTATGGCCTAGTAGTACTGTCTCTCTTAAACACACATCTACAGGTTGAAGCCTAACCCCCTAATCCCACCAGGAGCGTCTGCGCTGCGGTGTTTTTAACGATCGCGGCCACTCTAGTCAATGGGTGCTATTCCACCAGACACGCTGCGCCGCGGCTCGAAGCGTCCCAGAAGCTCCTCGCCGCAAGGAATTTCTAAAATATAGGATGAATCCTATTTTTGACGCGGCGCAGGCAGGAAGTGGAATGTTCATCCAACAACTGCGAGGCTGCACACACGTCGCTCCGCTTCCGCAACGTTTTGAAACGCGCCTGGTGGGTTAGGACGCAGGAGGAGGTCGCAGCGCAGCTGCAGCGCAGACGCTTCCAGTGGGATCGGGGTTATACGCAGCGTCCACACAGCAGCGTGCGTTCAAGCTTGCCGGCGGGCGTGTCTGAAACTCGACCAACAACCAATCACATGAATCTCCTGCCCCGGACACACAAGCACGCGGTTTGATTGGCTAGAGCTTGTACTGGCATATGATTTGATTGGCTGACGCTTCTGTCGAAGCTTCAAAAGTTGAACTTTTCTCAACATTTGAAGCGAGCAACGCGAAGCGACGGAACCACAATGCAGTTCGGCAAAGCGTGACGTCCCCCTGAATCAAGCTTCAACGCACGCCGCCGTGTGGACGGGCCGTTAGAGGTAGGCTGGCAGCTGGAGACACACACACACTATGTTAGGGAGCAATGTGAGAGGGTGGATTCTACACTGGAAAATGATTATTTAGTTGTAGGATAAAATGTAAATCCGTACATGTACATTGTATCTATTAACTGAGGAAAGTTGAGCCAGATAAAGAGAAGAGGGAATTCATACCTGCAACCAGCTTTTTGATCACTGTGATCGGAGTCCGGCAGAGAAAGAAAGAAAACAAAGGGTAAAGATGGAGGAGAAGAAAGAGAGGGCAAAAGTCAACAGAACAAGAAAGTCAACAAAAGCCAAAAAAGTCAAGCCAGGTCAAGAAGTAGGAGAAAGAAATGGATTTGCAAACACTGGAGCTTTTTAAAGCATGTGTACTAAATTGAAAATAGGCCCAATAAGCAAGAACGGATCGCAGAGGTAAGATTACAAAAGATAAAACATGCAAATTGAAATAGACAAAGGGAGAGTGGTGAAAATATTGTAAATGCAGCGTAAACTTAAACTGATATTGATCGTTTTGCCTTTTTTAGGTGGCTAAAGCGGGTTTCCCTGTTGCCCCCTGTGGACAGCAGTTTATTGCTTCTACAAACTGGGGACGTGCCGAATCTACTCAGTGTGATGAACTGAATATGGATAGGTACCTCATATAACCCCAAGTGGTTTCTTACAGTCAGCTTTATATAGATTACATCACGTCCGATCCAGTTTATAAATAAAACAACAATAAATACATTACACATTTTCAGTGCAACTTGTTTGAAACAAAGACTATGAGCTCATGTCAACGGCCCTGAATCCCCCAAATCTTTGTTCTCCGCTCACCGTCCATCTTCTCGTCCGCTGTGTCTTTGCTCTCGGCCCCTGGAGCCCTGTCTGCAGCATGATGCTCTCCTTCAGCAAGTGGAGCTGAAGGATCAACAAATATCACAGGTTAGCGTTGCATTAGAACTGTTTGTCCAACCATCTGCCCATATGTGGAAAACAGAATACACTCACGTTTTCCAGCAGCGTCCGGAGCTTTTCCAGCTTTATCCCCCAACTCGGCTGCGTTCCCTTGGAGAGGATCTTTCACCGGGTCGAGCTTCTCACTTTCCTTCAGCGGGGGAACGTCTTGCTTTTTGTCTTCCTCTGCAACCGGCTTCTCCAACACCTCATTGGACCGGACTTCCCCTCCGCCCAGATCCACTTCCTCTTTGCCCACGATATCCTTTACAGGCTTCACTTTGTCTCCATTGTTGTCGCCTTTCTTGCCCTCCAGCTCCTCAGAGTGCCCTAAAACTTGCTTTTCATTTTCTTTTGGTTCTTCCGGTGCTTTCTGGTCCTCCTCCAGCTCTGCGTTGTTCTTCCTTGTGTCCACTGGCACGGCGTCATGTGGGATGGGGGGCTCATGGCGGTGGGCCTCGCCTTCTGGCACCGCAACACCTGGGAAATTGAAGAATAATTATCCTACGCAGCTCAAAAATCCAGAGGAGATTTCAGCTTTGTGTCAGTTTCCGTACCGGCGTCAGGGCGGTCCAACTGCACCTCCTCCTCCTCCTTCTCTGGTAGCTCCACCGGTCCTTTAATCTGCGGAGCCTCGGGGGGGTCCCTCTCGACGGGTCGGGCCGCCTCTACAGGTGGAAGGTCAGGTTTTGCCATCTCCACTGGCTTCTTGATTGAATGATTTTCTACATGGAGACACACAAAACCAAATCTATTACATTACCACACTAATGTCATATACTCCCAAGGTTTTTCAGCCAAACAGTGTCCTTAGATAATATATCCGTACGATCATGTTGCTGCTCTTTTATGACAGCCAGAAGTTTTTCCTGCTGGTCGGGGAGTCTCTTCTGCTGCTCCTTGATCACCTGCAGAAGCAACAGCGTTGTCCCGTTGACCCTCTTCAAGACAGAAATGGTCAAATAACATGCTCTGGTAACATGCTGTTGTAAAGAAGCTTAGTTTGGCTGATGTCTTCTAGGTGAGAAGGGAACGGAGATATCCACTATGGTTAGAAATGCCATAGAGCTTTTTATTTACCTTTGACTTTATAAACTGTTTGTGTGAGAAAATGCAACAGTCTGGAAAATACGAGACACATTACTGCGGCTAAATTAAGAAGCCATAAATTGGACGCTTGAATGATTCCGCTATTATCTCGTCTCTGAGAAAATAAAACAACTGTATTCTAGCGCATTATCATGTAACACTGGCCCTGACAGGCACTCCTTATCTCTTGTACAGTTGGGTTTATTACACCCATTAAATCCTGGCATTCAAATAAATGAACACCTCGGTTTATCTCGCATGAACTGTTATGCTCTCAGATGTAACTGATTAAAACGTTGTTACTGATTACTGAGGGGATCCATAGTAAGACTTGCACTTCCAAGATGACATTTATATATATTTAACAATCCATAACTGTACATATCTGTATATGAGTAAAACATCTTTAATTTGAACTTATGCTCGCCCTTTTTTCCATATTTTTCTTGCACTTTCATTTCTACTATAATAATCGTTATTTTTATACTTGGGTGAATTCATATACGTCCTATCCTGTGGTTACCAGTGTTGGGACTAACGCGTTACAAAGTTACTGTAACGCCGTTATTTTTTGTAGTAACTGGTACTCTAACGCATTACTTTTTAAATTCAGTAACTCAGTTACCGTTACTACATGGTGCGTTACTCCGTTACTCCGTTAGTTTTTTTATATAGTCAACAGCCAGGCGAACAGAGATGAGAACTGTACTTAAGTACAGTACTTGAGTAAATGTACTTAGATAATAATAATATATTTTATTTATAAGCGCACTTTTCATTTGCGTAAACAAAACTCAAAGTGCTACAAAATTAAAAATTAAAAAGGGTGAAACAAAACAACAAAAACAATAAAAACAATTTAAAAACAATTAAAACAACATAATAAAAGCTGTGACGTTCATGCCGGCATGGCATAATGTGGGGGATTTAAAAATCTAGTTAAAGGCTATTCTAAAAAGATGCGTTTTTAGGCCTTTGAACGCCTCCACAGTCTGTGGTGTCCTCAGCTGGTTTGGGAGGGCCACAGTCTCGGAGCAGCGGAGCAGAAGGCTCGGTCTCCCATGGTCTTCAGTTTTGTCCTTGGTGGGATGAGGAGGTTTGCCTTTACTGAACGTAGGTTCCTCGTGGAGGTTTGTGGGGTGAGCAATTCCTTGATGTAGGAGGGAGCATTTCCATATATGCACTGATGAGTGAAGAGGGTGATTTTGTAGTCAATCCTGAGTGAGACCGGGAGCCAGTGCAGTGATTTGAGGATGGGTGTGATGTGTTCGTACTTCCGCACTCTCATCAGGATCCTAGCAGCGGTGTTTTGGATGTATTGCAGCTTCTGGATGTTCTTGCTAGGAATCCCAATGAGAAGTGCGTTACAGTAGTCCAGCCTGGAGGAGACAAAGGCGTGGACAAGCTTTTCAGCATCTGGCAGACTGAGTGTGGGGCGGAGTTTTGCAATATTTCTAAGGTGGTAGAAAGAGGTCTTGCATATTTGCTTGATGTGGGCCTCAAAGGTCAGGTGAGGATCCATTTTAACTCCCAGATTGGTAACCGTTGGTGAGAGTGGAATGTTCTGACCGGAGAAGGTGATGCTGGTGATGGCGGATGAACGGACCTGATGTGGAGTGCCAATAAGAATGGCTTCAGTCTTGGAGCTGTTTAGCTGGAGAAAGTTGTGCTTCATCCACACCTTTATCTCCTGCAGGCATGTGGTTATTGTGGATGATGGCAGAGGTGCAGAGGGGGTTGGGTTTGCTCTGATGTAGAGCTGTGTGTCATCAGCATAGCAATGGAAAGATATTCCATGCCGGCTGATGACACGACCAAGGGGGGATATGTATATGGTGAAAAGGGTGGGGCCGAGGACTGATCCTTGGGGGACACCGCAAGTCACAGAGTGAGTTCTTGATTTAGCCGCTCCCAAGGTGACGTGCTCAGTCCTCCCGGTGAGATAGGAGGTGAACCAGTTTAAGGCAGAGTCAGAGAGTCCAATTGTAGTGTGAAGACGGTGGAGTAGGATGTCATGGTCGACGGTATCAAATGCTGCAGTTAGATCCAGGAGGATGAGGAGAGATGGAGATCCGGTGTCAGCTGTCATCAGCAGGTCATTGGTCACCCTGACTAAGGCAGTTTCTGTACTGTGGCCCTGGCGAAAACCAGACTGGAATTTTTCAAAGATACTTCCTGTGTCACATGTGGAGATGGGCTGTGGGCGTGTTTGTGTTGTTTACTAACAAGACTATCATGGCGGCGGCGGAGCTCAAGTCCAGTTTCTCCACCTGGAGATATTCTCACTATTTCACTTTGTCGAGCACAAAGAAAAGAAAGTTTCTGTTAAATGTAAGTTGTGTCTTGGCGGGTCAAAGATCCTATCTACTGCCCAAACCAGTAATTCAAATCTCTTAAAACATCTGCAAAAACAACATGCTGGGACAAAGCTAGTAACTAAGACCACAGAGACTCAGCCGACGCCACTCCACCTCCACCTAAGCAACAGCGGCTGGATTTTAACCAAGGGACTGCTAGCCAGGGAAAAGTCGATAAAGCCATTGCATGGTATGTTGTAGAACACATGCAGGCTATTGCTACAGTGGAGTCACCCGCTTTCAGGGAGCTAGTTAGCATGATAGCATGTCCGGGCGGCACACGGCATATGGGACGGAACACTTTTTCCAACTACCTGGAGAAAGAATATACAAAAATGGAAAGCCAGCTAATATCGATGCAATCCAGATTGCATATAAGGCATGTCAAGTTGATCAACAGATTGTATTATTCTCCAATGCAATAACAGTACTGAAAGGAAGGCTATAAGGGCATTAATGGGAGCCCTTTTTTAAGTAACTAAAACGTTACTTTTCACAGTAACGCATTACTTTTTGGTGCAAGTAACTAGTAAAGTAACTGAGTTACTTTTGAAATGAAGTAACTAGTAATGGTAACTAGTTACTGGTTTTCAGTAACTAGCACAACACTGGTGATTACCCTTATTGATGTTGCTGCTAAGACACCTGAATTTGACCTTAAAGGTGGGGTAGGTAATTCCCTTCAGAAACACTTTTTATTATATACCATGGAATGCTCTTAACATCCCGATAGCAATGAATACATGAAATGCTTTGACAATAAATACATAAATAAACGTCATCTGTGGAAGCCGTGGCGCTGTAAAAAGCACGACCAATCATCTGAGCCGGCCCGGCTAAAGTAGCTGGATGGCCTACCTGCCTGTCAGCCTTCCATCTGGGCACAAACTTATCTCGTGCCCTCATTGGTCATGTGCGCGTTCGTGTGTGTTGGAGGAGGGGCTCTGTAAGGAAGTCTGCGTACTTAATTCTCGCGCACTCGAGCTGGTTTCTCCATTCTTACCCATCTTACCTTTAAGGGGATCAATAAAGGTTTATCGTATCTTATCCACTAGAGGGCAGCAAATACTGAAAATGGCAAAACCGACCCAATTGGTGAGTGTAACAAATTAGAAAGAGAGATTGGAAAAGGGAGGAAGATGAGTAAAAGCGACAAACGAGAGATGACAGAAAGTTTGGAACTCTACAGTTTGACATATGTAAAATCACAAGAGTTCAGAGCAACAGAAGAAATGGATGCACAAAGGCGTCAGTGAACAGGATAGAAGAAGATGCCACTGATGAACCGCAGGAGAAACTATGGAGAGAAAACTCCATTTGTTTCTTCTGCCCCCCTCTACCCTCCCCAACCCATATAACCCTCTTCCCTTTATACAGCCAGAGCTTGAAGGCATTTTATAGCTGCCACAGGAGATATGGCAGAGGGGGAGACGGGGGTGTAGACAATGTATTTTGAGGGGGAGGGGGTGGCAGGAGAAATGAACAGAGGTAGAGGGTGTGGAGAGAGAAATGACTGGAGTTTGAAGGGCATCACTCCCGCTCCATCAATGTCGAGCACTCGGCGCTGCTCTCTGATATTATCAAGAGGTTATCTCCTCACCCTGCCTGCCTGTCTCCCAGCCGCCTGTCTGCCTCCATCTTTTCTTCTCACACACATGAAAGGAACCCTTTCTCTTGCTGTGGCTTTTGTTTTAGCCCCCTTTGCCACTGGCTCATATTCTCTTTTAGAGCCACGACTTTGAAATTAAAAAGGAAATAAACATGTCTCTGGTGCCTTTTGAATGAACTAATGACATGCAGCACGGCTGTGTGATCTCAGGCGTGGCAGACAACCGTGACTCCGGCCTCGCTCAGACAAATGTCTCCATGGCTCATTAGTGAACCGCTTTCTTCTAGTCCATCAACTAGATAAGTGATTGCCAGTCATTAGCCCGTGTCGCGATCTTTACCGTGAGTTTCAGGAATGTCCGGTAGATGCAGGATGATCTTCCCAGGTGCTGGAGGGGGGGGGGAGGACCTTGGTGGCCGGGCCTCTGGCCGATATTGAGAGGGTGGTGAAGGTGCTGACCAGCAGGATGCCCAGGCCCACACAGAGCACCAGCTACAGGACACAGAGCAAGAGCAGCGCAGCAGGTCAGTGACACACAGATTCTTACTGAGCTAATGATTCTGTAAAGGGCTTCTGTCTAACCTGAGAGATGAAGCCATTCTTCTGGATCTTTCTGTAGATGAGAGCGGGGCATATGAAGCAGATGAGGCTGCCCATAGTGGCTCCAGTCAGACCCAGGATGGTTTCCACTGAAGAGAGAAAAGGGAAAGAGGAACACAGAGGTCATGTTGTGCTCAGGATTTGCATGAGTCAGGACGAGCGTAGTCTGGCTTACAAATCTAGATAAGCCTTTACGCCATTTTTTACCGCCTATTTTACACAGAATTCATCCCCTTTCTGCCATCTTGATCTTACCCTTTGCGTAAACAACAACTAGACTCAACAATGGACTGATCTGTTCCATTTCACACGAGCTTCTGTGATATTGGTATAAAAACATTCTGCAAGAACAACATGCAGCTAGTAAATGATCTGTGGTTTCAACTGCATTGTAATTATAGAGAGGATTCACCTCTAGGGCAGATGATCAAAATATGTTTGTCTATCAGTTAGAGTCATACCAAACAATCGAAATACGTCCTTTAATGTTTTTCTTCTGCGTTTTTCTCAGTAGTCTGACACAGTGTGCGAAAAAGCACACCTCCCACCGTCCGGGACGTGTTATTTACAATATCGGACAAGTAGATTTTTCAATTGACTTGTCTGACGTTTTTCGCCCTCATTTATTGACAAATTATTGATACATTCAGTTTACAAAAGGCAGAACTCGTTCGCAAATTGTCCGTGTCCGCCATTGTTCATTTAGAAATGTTAGTTTCGGTTCTGCTTGTCGATTCAGGAAATGCATCTCGCCGCTTTCTGTACTGCGGGGCGGGACGTGTAGCACAGTGGCAGGGTTCAAACTCGGTTCAGAGTAGGAACAAATAACAATTGTCCGGTACCGAGATTAATAAGAGTTTTGAGGACAGGACATCCGCTGCCCGTTTAACAGCCTCATCTCTGTCAAACTTTCTTCTGTTCTCTCTCTAACAAGTAATGAAGGTTATTAAGCGTTTTAGCTCCTGTGTTGTTAATATTGACCGCCATTTCCTTTATGAAGTAAAGCAGCCTCCCTGTCTGTCCTCGCGCTGTCCTCACATCCCCGGACCCCCAGACTCGGAGGAGCACAGGGACGTCAGTATTGTTTATGAAGCAGGGTATAGAAAGTACATTATTGAAATGAAAATACTATTTATTTACTTTTACAAACAGTGAGCAGCTGCAGCATGTGTATTGCAGGACATGTGTAAGCGTGCAAGCGTCTTTGAGTTGTAGAAAAGCGCTAGGCCTTAGGCTATAAATATAATGTGTTCTAAACTGCACCACTTAGAACTAACTAAACAATGCAGAGATTCTTTTTATATAATTGTATTCAATAACCGTAAGAAATTCAACAGTATGGAGTCATTTGTAAATAGGAATACAGATTTGACTTCATGTTTTCATAAATATATTTTTCTCCCAGTTTGTCATGGGACTTATTTTTACCCTCTCAAAGAACCGGAATCGAGAACCGAAAATAACCGGAATCGTTCAAATCCAAACGATACCCAACCCTATGTGTGATGCAGTAAAATCTTACCGCTCACTTACGTTAGCGGTGTCGTAAAAACCGTGGGAAAATGTAAAATACGATGACGAAGAAGAAGATTCCAGTGGCCCCAATTTTTGTCCATTCTGGACAAGTGAAAAATGTATTCGGACAAGTAAATTGCCAAACTCACTTGTCCATGAACAAGTACTCTCTAAAAACTTTTTCTCACACTGAGCCGGAATAATAAATAAACGATTCAAATAATGAAACAAAAGTAGTGTATTAGCAGTTTCTAAGATCCAGCTTCTATCCCTCCGAGTGGTAGAAGCACGAATTCAAACGTTGATAGTCATTCTTATAAAAAGAATAACAATATTCCCTGTTTGTGGTGTGACGTAACATCCATATTAAAATCAATATTAGGGTACTTGAGCTAATCTAATCTAATCTAATAGGGATGTGGAGCTACTTTAGAGTTCACTGGGCCAAACATGGCACGAGCACTGCCAGAGTTAAGGGGTTTCAATCTCATCTATTAGAGTATTACCCTCCATCTACACTCTTGATGATTCACTTCATTCACATCTGATTCTATGCCATTCACAACAAGCACCCGCCCAGCCATGCCACCCTATTCCTGGCAGCAGAGAGCCTTGCCCCCCCCCCTCCTCCTCAAGTCTCTATGGACCGGGGCCGGGCCTGGAAGCCCATCGTTCATCCAGGAGACGGACACCATATTGTCTCCCTCAGATTTAGTGTCTGTTCTCCCCAGGGTCCTTACCTCCCTTCTCCTCAGTCTATTAGTCTGATTAGATACACAAAGAGCCAGCCAAACCCACTGTGTGTGTGTGTGTGTGTGTGTGTGTGTGTGTGTGTGTGTGTGTGTGTGTGTGTGTGTGTGTACCCAATCAAAAGTTTAACAAACAGCCACCACATAAAACGGATGAATAAAACATAAACTCATTCTAACCTTTACATCTCCACCATTTTGGAGCCGCCTGTGAGCGGGACGAAAAGACTCAAAGAAGCTGACGGCGAGCCAATATTGGTGTGTGTGTTTGTGTGTGTGTGTGTGTGTGTGTGAGAGAGAGAGTCTAGGAGAATAATAGCCCTATCTTCCCGTCTAAAAGGAGATAAAAGTTAGGGCTCTGATTTAAGGACTGTGTTAGAGTGTGACAGTCACTGAGTCGTAAAGTCGCATTCACACACGTTGTAAAGCTCCCCGGCTACTCCGCCCACATGCACCTTAAAGACCTCCAGTCTGACACACACACACACACACACACACACACACACACACACACACACACACACACACACACACACACACACACACACACACACACACACACACACACACACACACACACACACACACACACACACACACCACACACACACACCACACACACACACACACACACACACACACACACACACACACACACACACACACACACACACACACACACACACACACACACACACACACACACACCACACCCCTTTAATCCATTCAACGCATAACTGATTGTTCACACAGGATGTACCGTTGGGGATGAGGATGCCTCCCAGCATGGTGCCGAACACGATGCAGAGGGTGATCACCTTGAAGCGCAGAGGAGGCATGTATCCGCCGGCAAACGTCCCGTCCTTCTGCTGTGAGAAGGAAACAGAGATGGAGATGAGAAGGGCACAAAACGTATCAAATAAATCTCATAGGTCAATAATTTAGATTTTTTTCTCCTATTATACTGTTTTTCATCAATATATTATAAGTCTCAGATATTTACAAAACATGTCTCTGTTACCTTGGTTGCTGATTGGCTAATGGTTACACAAGCCTAAAAATCGTTATGACATCATAAAGTGGGCAAAATCTGATCGGCTCATTTTCATTTTTATAGAAATGGATCAAAGAGAGAGAATCTTTTTTCCTGAGACTTTTAGAATCTCTTTCCACAGAGGGGACACATGTTGATGTAGAAGAGACATGAAGAAGAGGGGACACATGTTGATGTAGAAGAGACATGAAGAAGAGGGGACACATGTTGATGTAGAAGAGACATGAAGAAGAGGGGACACATGTTGATGTAGAAGAGACAGGAAGAAGAGGGGACACATGTTGATGTAGAAGAGACAGGAAGAAGAGGGGACACATGTTGATGTAGAAGAGACATGAAGAAGAGGGGACACATGTTGATGTAGAAGAGACATGAAGAAGTGGGGACACATGTTGATGTAGAAGAGACATGAAGAAGAGGGGACACATGTTGATGTAGAAGAGACAGGAAGAAGTGGGGACACATGTTGATGTAGAAGAGACATGAAGAAGTGGGGACACATGTTGATGTAGAAGAGACATGAAGAAGAGGGGACACATGTTGATGTAGAAGAGACAGGAAGAAGAGGGGACACATGTTGATGTAGAAGAGACAGGAAGAAGAGGGGACACATGTTGATGTAGAAGAGACATGAAGAAGAGGGGACACATGTTGATGTAGAAGAGACATGAAGAAGAGGGGACACATGTTGATGTAGAAGAGACATGAAGAAGAGGGGACACATGTTGATGTAGAAGAGACAGGAAGAAGAGGGGACACATGTTGATGTAGAAGAGACATGAAGAAGAGGGGACACATGTTGATGTAGAAGAGACATGAAGAAGTGGGGACACATGTTGATGTAGAAGAGACATGAAGAAGAGGGGACACATGTTGATGTAGAAGAGACATGAAGAAGAGGGGACACATGTTGATGTAGAAGAGACATGAAGAAGAGGGGACACATGTTGATGTAGAAGAGACAGGAAGAAGAGGGGACACATGTTGATGTAGAAGAGACAGGAAGAAGAGGGGACACATGTTGATGTAGAAGAGACATGAAGAAGAGGGGACACATGTTGATGTAGAAGAGACATGAAGAAGAGGGGACACATGTTGATGTAGAAGAGACATGAAGAAGAGGGGACACATGTTGATGTAGAAGAGACATGAAGAAGAGGGGACACATGTTGATGTAGAAGAGACATGAAGAAGAGGGGACACATGTTGATGTAGAAGAGACAGGAAAAGTGGATTTTGCCTAATAGGTGACCTTTAAGGGTACGATTTGACTTTTGTTCCTACGGTAGCTTGTTCTCCTTGTCGTCTATGCAAAATGTATTCAAATGTTGTAACTTCAGCAATCCTTTATTCTTTTTAAATATGTCATCATCATGTTGCCACAAGTCCACGGTACTGGTATGGTTACACCCAAAACACAAGCGGGACTTTCTATTCCGGATACAGCATTTTTTACGTCAGATGTGGGTTCAAAGAGCAAGCCATTACATCCTGAGTCTGGGCTCTCCGGGTGCCCTTCAAGTTATATATATATTATTATTATTAGTATTAGGAGTGGCCTTTAAGCTCACCTGCTGCTCAAACAGCATGGTGTTGATGGCCTGGCGGCAGGGCAGGATCATCATGGGGAATCCGACGGCCACAGACATCATGAAGCCGACGCGGATCATCTCCGTCACCAGGTTGGACGGGAAGTTCATCAGCACGTTGCCAGCGATTTCGTCGGTGAAACTAACGTATCCGAAGAAACCCACCTGGTTCACAGAGAGGTGGAAGGAATCAATGAAAAAAAGGAGGACATACATACGTAGTTGGACTTGTTTTTTAGAACTGGGTTCATGTTCAATTTTACAACAGATACAAATGCATCAGTGACACTGGCAACAGTCAATGTGCCAGTGGAGGTAGGGTTTAAGTGCATTTCCACTCACAGTGATGTAGAAGATGGTGACTACGTTGAGGGACGAGGTGACGATGGTGCTCATGCGTTTGACGGAGGGCTCGTCCAGGCTGTCGTAGGTTGGCAGCACCTGCCTGTGAGAGACAAGCAGCCCAACAAAAACACTGCGCATGCTGCCAAACACACAAAACCACACTGGTGCTGCTCTCGTGCATTCATGTGCCGTCTGGATTATCAGATTAAACTGTGAGCTGTGGGGAGCGCCACTTCTAAATCTAGCAGAGAAGTAGACCCATGCATGTATGTATGTGTCATTTCTAGCACATTATGAAAGTCTACTTCCTTTCAATTTGAAAGTGGGAACTGCTCTGTAGATATTTTTATTGAGTAGCCATATAGAAGCCCATTTGTTCCACTCAATCATCAAATGATACACGTCTCTGCGAAGTGAGTTTTTTTACACATCAAAATAAGATGTGTCTACTAAGCTCTGTTTTGGTTGCAGATGTGTTTGTTGATGAGTGTATTTCACTACCAACTTCTGCAAAATGTGATTTGTAACTGCAAAAATGGGCACGTTTTTTACAGCGAGACGTCATTTAAACCCATGTATCTATTTTCAAGTACGGACATCTGACAAGCACATGAATGCAACAAGATTTCAACATGTGGAATATGTTACAAATAATGAACATATTGCAAATATGAATGACAAACAATTACTACTGTTTTAAGTGCAGTTGATGGATGTACTATTGTCATGGCAGTGGTGGTGAAGAATGTAGAAGTGTTTAATACATACGACCGTGTGTGTGTGACAGAATGGGTGACAGTAGTCGAGACTGCCTGTCTGTAAACACAGGTACCTGTCGCCCTGTCATTTTCTGTCTGTTGTAATAAGAGCGGGTGGGGCGTGGAGGGGGACTGTCAACATTCATTTTACAGGATGTATTCATGAAAGCGAGATCCTGCAGGGTTTTAGAGCAATATTGACTTCCCTGGCACACTCATATCCTCTCTCCCTTTCCTTTATATATCGAATAAAGGAAGATACATAGAGAAAAATGAGGGAAAGAGATACAGTAACTTGCTGTCTCTTGTTCTCTCTTCACACACTCTGCGTCTATGAGCCAACACTGTCCCGTGCTGCTTTTTCTCAACACTTGTTAAATCCGGAAACCAGTAAATCTTATCGCCAAGGTTAAGGAAAACTGCATATTATAAGTAGGATATAAAGCATCCAACAGTCTCTGCTCAGATGCTTTAACGCTGCCCTTAAATGGAGGAAATATGACGGCGCAGGTCTTCAAAACGAACGTGGGAAAGTGTGTTAGGAGGGCTCGAGTGTGTGCTGTAGCTAATATCATTACCTCGGAGTTGAAAGCATGCTGACAGTAGCATCACAGAGGGATATTTCCGCTGCACATGTTTTTCTTACGTCCCTCTATTATGAGCTAACTGCTCCTCGCCATCCAAACCGCGGCGCCAAAAACACAACAGGGCCAGCTCCCGTCCCGTCATAATGGTGATGTTAAATAATGTTTTAACTGAAAGTAAACACATTTCATGAATGTAATAAAAATCCAATGTGCTGAGAGCTGTTTAATCAGCCTGTGAATACATCAGTGTGTCTGTAAGATGGCGGTGGTCCAATGTGTTGATTAGTGGTTTGGCTTTAGCTGCCTGCCGCCGAAACGGAGCGCTCGCTTCGCTCAGGCCAAAAAATCCCCGTGCCAAATATCACTCAGCGCTGCTAGAGGGAACACAAAGCGCACATGCGTAAACACACACTTTCTTCCTCCTCTGACATGAGCACACCTCAAATGGTATGTTGGCGTTGTGCGATAAGTCTCGAGTCTACGGTCACCCACTCCAGCCACTTACCTCATTCTCTCTCACACAAACAGACCCAAACATCTGGCCCCTAATGACCTCGCCATAACACTCGTCATAACACTCCCTGCATCCTTCCCCAGCTCTGCATTCAAATCACAGATAAGACTTCCACCTCCCATTAGACCTTCACAGGTTACTCTCTCACCCACTCAACTCACTGCAAACACTAAAGCGCAGAGGACAGGACAGAGCATGCAGATGATGAAAATGGATAAATGAATGATTTTGGTGACTCAGCGATGATTAAACTGAAAGTAGTGACAGGTAGTGGTGACATCTGCATTCACTGCAGGGCAAGTTAAAGGGGCCCTATTCTGCTCATTTGCACACAAAGATGATCTGTGGAAAGGACATTAGCAATAAGCAGTCTCCCTTTGCAAATACAAATCCTACAACAACTATAAATTGTTAGGAATGATGAAAGTCAAATTATGTAAGATTGTATTCACTGTTTAAAGTCAGGAATAAGACCGTGGAAAAAAGCCCACGTTTTAGCATCTAGTTGATATTTGGATTACGTTCAAATGTTCCCCTATTCTGAAGCCTCTCGAATCTCGTTTGTGATTAGTTTTTATGACATGGTCCTGTGCAGCTGGGGGGGGGGGGAGGAGTACTTACGACTGACAGGCGAAGGCCATCCCACAGATGGGGAGACAGCGAAACACCCCCTCCCAGTGCACCATATTGACCTGCACTAGCCACCAGCCGCTGAGCACCCCGTGTTTGAACGAGGACAGCACCACCTGAGGGGGAAGGAGGGGGGGAGGGGAAGGGGGTTACAGCCCGAACCAAATGAAGACAGGTTGGGGAAGAGGAGGAGGAGGAGGAGGAGGAGGAGGAGGAGGAGGAGGGGCCGCACCCATGCTGACGCCTCACAGACAGATAATGAAAGTAATCAATGAGAAGAGAGAAAGAAGGACATGACAAGAAACCCCATACTGATACAAAAAAACCTGTCATGGCTGAGAACATTTAAGGTAATGTAATGAATCAAAGGGGAAATCATATATCTGATCAAAATAAAAGGGCAATCCAGACAAAAACGGCCCCACAGGTTTTCGATCAGCATGCGTTTCTTACGTCTTGCTCCTTTAATTACCGGATAAAGTCCAAAAAGGACAGAACAATCCAAAACCCTCCACCCGCCCACACCTAGGCTGCTCATCCTGGGCGTGGGGCGGCCAAGACGAAACTCTGAGGTCAACACACTCCTCGGCCTTATTACTAATGCCACCAGAAAACACACACACCAACACAGACACACTCTCACAGAGCTCGAATGGCTCAGACCAAACCCGATTTAAGAAAGGTGAAAAATGGGGATGAGAGGATTTGGCGGAAGGTTCAGGTAGGTGGGAGGAGGCGTTTAAGGATGCAGGGCCCACATCTGGCTCCCTTCACTCTCCGACCCCCCCCCCCTGGCTGCGCTTACGTTGTTGGTTTGGTTTCCGTTAGGGATGCTCCGATCGCTAATTTCGGGGCTGATCGCCGGAATCAGTATCGGCCGATACCGATCGCGTGGGCGGGGCCTAAATGGAAGATTTAATCATCACTTTAAATCTTCCATTTAAAGTGATGTTTAAACTCAGTTAATGGGGCTCATTCACTGGAGCTTCCACAAACAACAATCAACTTAATTATTACATTCAAATGATGTACATTATTCAAGTTTACATTAACTTTGAATAATAACACGGGAGAAATGAGCGGAAGCGCTCTCTTTTCCTCTCTCCCCCTCTCTCTCTCTCTCTCTCCTGACAGCCTGTCAGTATCTCATGCAGCTCACTGATCTAGTAATGAGTGACCCGACAGTGAAGAATAAATATATTTATAATAACTAGTTTAGCTTGTTCCAGAGGTAGATCAAATAGCTAAGTGTGTTAGGTCTAACTCTTGTGTGTTTCGTTCCGCTTACCGGTCCGGCGGGCGGAGCTGCAGGATTTCTGCTTCACACACGTTGCATTCCGCTATTTTACTGTCTTTTTCGGACACCTTAAAATAATGCCAGACCGGTGAAGCCATTTTGGCGAGCTTGTTTTGCCGCACACAGAGAAAAGTGTCATGTATTTCACGTCATGCGATCGGCTCTCGCGATCGGCATGTTTAGAGAGCACCGATCGATCGGTAGAGAGTGAGTATCGGCCGATCTCGATCGGTGACCGATCGATCGGAGCATCCCTAGTTTCCGTGGTTTACTTACGGGTGACAGCAGAAGGTTGTGGCGATAATGGGCAGGCACTGAATGACGCCGTTCAAGCGCCACAGGTGAACCCGCTCCACCCAGGAGCCTGAGATTATGCCGTAGCGCAGAGACGACAACACTATCTACAGCGGGAAGCATCAGAAAACAGCGAAGGGACAGAGGGGGAGCAAACAAAGGGTGCAGAGGAGGAGAGGAAGTAGTGGAGGAGAGTAAAAGGGGTGCAAATGAGCAGGAAAGGAGAAACCAAGAGTAGGATGAAAGGAGGGAAGGAAAGGAGATACATCACTGTTAGAGGGTTAGGGGTCTGGACTGGGCCACACACCACACCATCGCTCCAGGTTACCGCCATGCTACGGAGCTACTCATCACACAGAGAGACTGTGGACAGAAGTGAGATCTGTGGAGGCAGCAATACGGCACACACACACATAAACTCTGTGTGTGTTTAAAGAGAAAACGGGCCGAATCACAGGAGGCAGAAATCTCCTGCTGGAAGACAAACTCTTTAGGATGTTTCAGCGCTCGAACATACGAAGGGAGAATCCATTAGGACTCTGAGAGACCTTTGTGTTTAGTGTTGATTCATGCAAACAGTGGAGTATTGGACGTTCTGTTGGAAAAAAGTTACACTAACTGCTACTCTAGTGTAGGGCTGTGCAATTAATCGTATTTTAATCGCAATTACGATTTTGGCCTGCCACAATTACGAAAACAACATCATCGCAAAAAACGATTATTTTGCTTTGCTAGGTTGTGACAGTGCACCACAACATATTTGATCTCATTTATTTTAGTCTAATTTATTTTTTAAATATGTTTAGTAGCTTGTGGAAGTGCGCTCCAAAATATTTGTTGATCTTGTTTATTGGTATTTATTATTTTTGATATTATTTATTTAAATGTAAATATATCATTTATTTTTGTATTGGTTTTTCAGTTGAATTCTACGTTCAGGGTAATCAGCAGTTAAACATATACTGTTCAAATTATTATTTGTATTTGTTTTAAAGTTCAATAAATGGATGTTTTCAAAGTCAATGAATAATCGTATTTAATAATCGTGATATCAATTATTGACAAATAATCGTGATTATGATTTTTGCCATAATCGCACAGCCCTACTCTAGTGGCTTATGAGTACATTTCCCTGTGTAGTAAGAGTAAGAATATGTTTAGTTTTTTATATATTTTAGCCATGTAGCTTATTGAGGCTAAGCTACATGGCTAAAAATGTGACTAATGCGAGTCCTCAACCTTGAATATTCAAGTTTTTCTACATTCCTGTTGTAGCTTTGTCTAAATAATAACTAAGGTAAACCTCAGAAATATTTCAGCAGCTGCTATAGGGGCTTTGCTGCTCAATGCTGATAGGCTGAGGCAGAAAGGTATGTACAAATGGAAATGTTGTTCTGACTTAGGATAGGAGACTTACCGTCTTATAGAGAGGGGAAGTCCCTTCCTTTCCGGGGGACCTCCATTGGACCTTATTTCGGAAAAAGTATGTATTGAAGTCAATGGGGAGAGAAAGATTATCTTTCGATCCCGTTTGAATTGTGCCACGAATTAGTAACACTTTTTTTGTGTGAAACGCTGAATGAACTACATCTCCCGTCTCGCACCAACACCAAGATGGCCGTCACGTTGAAACATTTCACTTCTTCTTTCAGAACGAGGCGGAAAGTATTAAGAGAGGTGAAAATCACTCCAAGTCTGGGCACGTTGAGAGCTGTACATACACACAAGGGGAGTTTGTCGGTTCCGTAAGAGCCAGCATGCAGGACCGGGACTCTGGGATTTGTAGTCTTTCTAGTTGCGTATTTTTCATAGTCTTATATTTCAACAGTTTTACGACAAAATGTGACTTTTTTTACATGGAAATTATTTGTTAAGATTGACAAACATCATATGTGTAATTCGTGGCACAATTCAAACGGGATCGAAAGATAATCTTTCTCTCTCCATTGACTTCAATACATAATTTTTCCGAAATAAGGTCCCATGGGTCGGAAGTAGATGGGCGGGACTTCGCCTCTCTATATGTTAAATGCTGTATAGCTTGCAACAAAGGAGCAAAGATAATTCCCTTGAAGTGATGATGATTTAGTGGAGTTGACTGTGTGACCTCCATTTCCTTTGCACTAACAGAGCTTTAAAATGTCTCTAGTGGCCGTTTCCAAGCATGTCTCGGTCCCAGGGGAAAGCCTCTGAATCAGCAGAGCAGCAATGGTTTTCTGCCTGATGTGATTCAGTGTGAATTTTCTCTTTAAAAAAAAGGAGCAAGAAAACATCGTGTCGATACGGAAGAAGTTCTATACAATGGAGCAGAAACGGAACAAGGACCGTAGAGACAAAATAATATTATCCAAACAATATCCTGAAAATTAAACAAGTTAGAACACAGAGAAAAAGTCAATGAACTGTGTTACAATTACAGGTTGTGAAGGCATCTAAAGTATTTCTATTTGTTATGTCAGTGAGGAAGTACTTTAGAAAAACACATAACGTAAAAAACATCTTAAACATTTTTAAAATGCTGTAAGAAAACTGTCCTTCATTTCTATAAATAAGACAAGTAAATAGATCCTTTACCATAAGTCCAGGTTTTTATCCACTGTTCTTATAAATGTCGTATATAGAGTGCCACGGTGACGCGTCCTAAAACCCGGAAGTAAGTTAGCATGTTACCACTTCCGGTTCCTTCGCCAAAAAGCAATGGGATCTCTCCGTAGGGTTTTGGAAAATATCTGGAAATCAGGTCTGTGGTTGAAACACGTTGAAGAGACGGATCACGTTTTGCTCTACGACATTAAACACAGTGACCCCGCTGGTGATTTCTGAAGAGTTGACGTGTCTGAAAAACGATGGTTGTTACCAAGTGGCTGAATAGGACTACAGAAGTTGTCGAGGCCGTTTTACGTCATTACGCCGAACACGTAAACACTCCTCTAAGTTTGTTTGCCCTGTTCTGCTTGAAAGCAAGTCCCTGCCTCCTGCAGACTGTTCAAACAAACGCTTCAACTTGTACCATTTAGAATCTGTTTGAATATGGATCTTAAGTTGGCGTGACGTTGAAGCAGCGACCCTGCTGTAGTTCCTTTATAGCATAACGTTAGCATTTTGCTTCTGGCGACTAGATTTATGATTTGAAAATGATGAAAGTAGGATAGACATGTGGAGATTATCCGGCTGAACGAAACGTGATCCGTCTCTTAAATGTGTCTCAACCACAGACCTTATTCCCAGCTATTTTCCAAAGCCCTACGGAGAGATTGCATTGGTTTTTGACGAAGGAACCGGAAGGAGTTTACTTCCGGGTTTTAGGACGCGTCACTGTGGCACTCTATTCTTAACAGATTTCTTATCTAATTTGTGTTTAATATTTGTACACCTTGATCATTTTTAGCTGCAGTAGGAATCACTTAAATAATCGCCTTCTTTCTGTCCAGCAGATTTCAGGTCATGCACTTTATGATTAACTTTATATGACTTTTCTTTTAATGTTTAGTTGAACAATTCATATCTTAGACTGCACTGTAACTGTTATCCATGTATTTTTTCTTTTAATGTTTATTTTATTATCTTTTCTTTTTAATGACTGATTTTAAAAGCCATTTTCTTAATGTCTTTCATTTTTTGTAAAGCACTTTGAATTGCCTTGTGTTGAAAAGTGCTATATAAATAAACTTGCCTTGCCTTAATAAAAGCATTTTATCTTTTACGAGGGCTCCTCTCTCTAACTGTCAAGCTTTGAAACCAAAGTCTATTTCCACTGCAGTGTGTTAGATGCCTCGCTGTGTAGCTGTGTGTGTGTGTGTTGTCGGGCTTACCGTGAACATGAAGAAGGTGTAGAACATGAGCGCCATGGCGGAGAAGGACTGGATGGAAGACATCATGTTCCTCTGCAGACTCAGAGGGAGGACAATGAACAGAGACACGGCGAACAGCAGCAGGACGCGGAAACTGCCCGTCACCTTTAGAGGACAGAGTCACATGACAGTGTTCACACTTTAAAGGTCACCTATTATGCAAAATCCACTTTTTCATGTCTCTTCTTCATCAACATGTGTCCCCTCTTCTTCATGTCTCTTCTACATCAACATGTGTCCCCTCTTCTTCATGTCTCTTCTACATCAACATGTGTCCCCTCTTCTTCATGTCTCTTCTTCATCAACATGTGTCCCCTCTTCTTCATGTCTCTTCTACATCAACATGTGTCCCCTCTTCTTCATGTCTCTTCTACATCAACATGTGTCCCCTCTTCTTCATGTCTCTTCTACATCAACATGTGTCCCCTCTTCTTCATGTCTCTTCTTCATCAACATGTGTCCCCTCTTCTTCATGTCTCTTCTACATCAACATGTGTCCCCTCTTCTTCATGTCTCTTCTACATCAACATGTGTCCCCTCTTCTTCATGTCTCTTCTACATCAACATGTGTCCCCTCTTCTTCATGTCTCTTCTACATCAACATGTGTCCCCTCTTCTTCATGTCTCTTCTACATCACCATGTGTCCCCTCTTCTTCATGTCTCTTCTACATCAACATGTGTCCCCTCTTCTTCATGTCTCTTCTACATCAACATGTGTCCCCTCTTCTTCATGTCTCTTCTACATCAACATGTGTCCCCTCTTCTTCATGTCTCTTCTACATCAACATGTGTCCCCTCTTCCTCATGTCTCTTCTACATCAACATGTGTCCCCTCTTCTTCATGTCTCTTCTACATCAACATGTGTCCCCTCTTCTTCATGTCTCTTCTACATCAACATGTGTCCCCTCTTCTTCATGTCTCTTCTACATCACCATGTGTCCCCTCTTCTTCATGTCTCTTCTACATCACCATGTGTCCCCTCTTCTTCATGTCTCTTCTACATCAGCATGTGTCCCCTCTTCTTCATGTCTCTTCTACATCAGCATGTGTCCCCTCTTCTTCATGTCTCTTCTACATCAACATGTGTCCCCTCTTCTTCATGTCTCTTCTACATCAACATGTGTCCTCTCTTCTTCATGTCTCTTCTACATCAACATGTGTCCCCTCTTCTTCATGTCTCTTCTACATCAACATGTGTCCCCTCTTCTTCATGTCTCTTCTACATCAACATGTGCCCCCCCCCCTCTGTGGAAAGAGACTCTGAAAGTTTCAGGAACAAAGATTCTCTCTCTTTTCGTCCTGATCCATTTCTATAAAAACCTGTCTGAAAATGAGCTGATCAGATTTTGGCCACTTAATGATGTCATAACGATGTTTTGTCTTGTGTAACCATTAGCCAATCAGCAACCAAGGTAACCCCCCCCCCCCCCACCGTATCACCTGAATCTCCTCCTAGAGCACCATTGTGTTCTTTGTAACCAAATGTCTCTCAGAGGGGCGTGGGGAGGGGCTCCTTATTTTCATCTAAAGTAACAGACAGAGAATCAGCACTTTGGAAACAGGGCTGAAACAGAGGGGATTATGGGTAATGCTGCAATGATCTGTTTGGTGTTTGGAGCCAAACACTTCACAGACATGCTTTATATATATCTGAGACCTATAACATATTGATGAAAAACTGTATAATCGGGGACCTTTAAAGAGAAAACTCAAGACCCACGTTTTCAATTTGGTTTTTAATTATATTCAATGTATTCTTGTTTTATCCAATTATAGATGTCTGTGTTTTTAATAATCACAAATGTATTAGTCTGATTATGGCCTGGGGGGGTTGTTGTATTTTTCATTTTGTTTACTTTTTGGTATGTGAAGCACTTTGTTTATAAAAAATGCTATAAAAATAAAGTTGGATTAATTGAATGATTAGTCACCAATCATACAACAGTGTTTCTCGAATAGACTTCCTCCCAGAGTATCTATGTTTAGTTGGTTGAATAACCTCAATCGTATCAACTACAGTTTTACCTGATTATTGGAATACTTAACTTGAGATATAACCATTTCTTCATCTGTTACTCATACCGTATTACAAAATGATCGGACAAAACTTGTTTCATCTGTAAGTCCTCCATGGTGAAGGAAGAATTCGGAAATGATCCGTCTAAAAAACGGTTTACAAACTCTCCCATAACTCGTCCAGTATAAGTCTCATTGCTCATGCTTATTATTTCACAAACACAAGCATTTGTACTTAACTTAAAGATTTAAGACAGTCTCACGCTTGGAAGAGGGGTGCATGTGTGGCCCCTTAAACAGTCCCCATTCATTTCCACTCATCAAGCCTATGGTCCGTTTTTCAATTCTTTGTTTACAGTAGGGGCAAAAACAATGTTTTTCCAGAATCAGATGTAACACAATGGGTCAGTAATTGATACACAAATGATTGTTTTGCAGGGGAAGTATTCCTTTCAAAATAAAGTGAATGAAAACACAGAAGAAAGCAGTGGATATGTCTAAAGATTAAGAGATAAATAAAGCAAATAAAGATCTCAAACCTGTAAACCCAACAGCTGAGCGAAGAAATTCGAGCCCAGGTCAGCTATCACGACGTAGAAGGCAATGCAGGTGCCCAACATCAAACCGATCATGCTGCAGGAGGACGAGAGAAATCTAAATTATTATCAGCGTTTATTGTTTTGGGAATAAAACCACTTTATTTGTATATGTCTATGATCATTTTCTATAGAAGATCAAGCCGTGATAAACACTTTAAAAAGAGCTTAATGAGTACTGAATAAGTAATAAGACTTGCCTCAGCTCCACCACAGTTTTTCCTGGTTTCCCGTAAGCATGGAAGGCTGCAGAGAAGGGAGGGACGTCAGCGTGAACAACATGTGGACAAACAGATGGCCGTGTCGGGAAATTATCATAGGCATAAGCTTTTCTGTAAATCGAGCTTCACTTTCTGTTGCTCACTCAATCTGCCTGTTCATTCACAACCGCTTTTGTTGCTACGGCTACAGCAAATTCAACATTTACACGAGTTTAAACTCACCAAGTCCTGCGTAGGTCCGTCTTTTGGTGTTGCTTGCTGTGTTTACCAGAAACATGCAGGACTTGTGGGTCATCCACGAACAGAAGAACAACAGGAGGGTTCCCAGAACAATCCCACACTGTAAGAGAGGAAGGAGGGAGAGTTATCACACAGCAGACACACATTGATTATCCTAAAATCTGGTAATCTTATTTAAAGGTAGGGTAGGTAAGAATGGAGAAACCAGCTCGAATTTGAAAGTACTCCAACACACACGAACGCACACATGACCAATGAGGGCACGAGATAAGTTTGTGCACAGATGAAGGCTGACAGGCAGGTAGGCCATCCAGTTACTTTAGCCGGGCCGGCTCAGATCATTGGTCGTGCTTTTTACAGCGCCACGGCTTCCACAGATGACTTGTTTTTTAATGGATTTATTGTCAAAGCATTTCATGTATTCATTGCTATCGGGATGTTAAGAGCATTCCATGGAATATAACAAAAAGTGTTTCTGAAGTGAATTACCTACCCCACCTTTAAATGAGAAAATAATGTCCTCAAATCGAATAAGCATTTGTTTTAGAGTGACTATGATTACATCGTTATGCTCTGGCTTGGATTCAAACTGGCAACCTACTTCTAAATGTCTAAATATATACTTAATTTAGTACCAGGAGGACTAAATGAAGTATAACTATAACACCAGGAGGAAACACATTTGTCAGCTGTAAATGAAAAATACTAAAAACTTAAAAGGTCAATGGATTTTTTGTTAACCTTTGTACACACTTCATTATTATAAAAACAATGGATAGCTTGTCCATGTGCAGGATGTCCCACAACATTACATATTGAGAAATGATACGTATGTGTTGTTTTTTTACAAATCTATAGCAGAAACACAACAATTTGATCTGTGAAAAAAAACATTATGATGGCAAGAGCAATCCATTTTATTTTTTTCAATCAATCCATTTTTAATTGCCATTTTGTAGAAGAACATTCTTCATTGACAGAGAGGGACATTGCATTTTTCCAAGTTGTTTTAAGGCCTTTGAAAGAACTGCCACCCCTAACCCTTATCTTCTTTGTTCCTTCTGCACACAAACACTCTACAAATATTGAATTTGCATACACACGGAGGTGAGGAGGCAGGTAGTGAGTGAAACACTTGGCAGCAAACAGTTTCCATGAGAACATACTGTGATAACAAGGATACTTCATAAATTATATTTTTGATGACAATGTGACTTTATGAATACCCTCTCTATTTTATTTTTCCAAAGAGTGATTGGAGGTTAACATTGTGCTCTACAGTGTTTTACAAAAGGGTACTTCAGCAGAGCTTTTGAGGCACAGCAGTTTTAAACAAGTGTGCCAACAAACTAAGATAATGTGTTTAAATGATTTAATGGTGAGAGTTAAAAGAGTCTTGATGAAGTCTGAGAACAGATGGAGATGATGTTAATGTTCAACCAAGCATCCACTTATCTTATGAAGAAGTCGCTAGGAGATTAAATTAGCACAGTCATTCATGAAGTACATTTCCCATCACACTCATATCCTCGTAGAAGAAGAACGCGTAACCCACCAAGGTCAACATGAAGCATACTGTCATCAATGTCAAGCTAACGTTTGCAATGTTGAAAGCACTTTGTAGAAATGTTTATTCATAGCTTTGTGGTTTTTTTGGGAGGTTTTAGTTCCTGATTCTGTTCAATTTTGTTGTGTGTTACTGAAAGTAGTTTTACATAGCCACGTCAAGACCAACAACTTTAAGAGAGAAATGTTGTAATGTTTTCTAAAATATTCTCCATTCAAAAAAGCTAAATATATTGTTTTCAGCTTAAAAACTATAGCTGTTTTATATTGTATTAAACTGAATCTCTTTGGATGCTGGACTGACATAACAAGACATTAAAAGACATAGCCTTGGACTTTGAACTGAGATGTTATGGACCCAGTGTTTAATCAAGAGAATATAGTCAGAGGATTAATCAGTAATGAAAACTGCTGTTGAATGCAGCTGTTTAAATGGCCCAATAGAATAGAATGCAGTTAATAAAAGCTCTGAATGACAAACTCCCACATTCATACTGCTTACATGTTAATTCAACAATGTTGGCTAAAAAAAACTATATAAAAATGACATTAGCTAATCTGTATAAAGAAACATATGTTGCGGGACATATAGTGCTACTTTGCTCAGTGTCAGAATGTAGTAAAGTGCTTCAGTTCACTTTTCACGTACTAGTACTCGAGTACTTTGGTGGCGTAAAAGTACACTATTTACCTCTGAATTGTAGTGTCTGTCTGTTTACCTATGTAAAAAGCTAAAAATAAGGGGTCTTGCTGCACAGTAACTAATATGTAATATAAAAGTAGTAAAGTCAAAAGTACAACATTTGCCTTCAAAATGTAGTCAAGTTAAAGTATAAAGATACATACATTGAAGTAAAGTACAAGTATCTCAAGTACAGTACTTTAGTAAATGTACTTAGTTACCTTACTGCTTTTACTTAAGAATTCAAACGCAGTACTTCTTCCAGCTGTGCTTTTTACTGAAGTAAAGAAACTGAGACCCCTCTCCCGCCAATGTAAACAGCTAAAAGAGGGGGTCCTGCTTGGCGGAGGGGTTTTGCCGAAGCACCTGTAAACTTCCGCAGGTGAACCCACCTGTTTGAAGCAGAAGGGCATGGTGAGCACACTGACTCCCACGATGCTGTTCACCACGTTCATGATGAGACCCCAGTTAGACGCCGTCATGTTGACCCGCTTGTTGACCGCTCCTCCGTGGGTGAGTGAATCTCAGAAGACACGGAGACAGTGGCTCATTGAAGGCAAAGCTGGGGACTAAAATCAGGGTGTGTGTTTTTACAATGACGTGGCGCTCTAGGCGGAAAAAAACACACACACACAACACGAGTTAAACATTTGGCACACCTTCAAATGTTGTCCTTATCATGACAAGGACACACAAGGACCGTTAGTGACTTCAGTGTTTCATTCGTAAGTTAGTTAACTTTTAGCTCGAAAGCTAACGGTCGGTAACCATTAGTAACGTCATAGTTTTATTGGTAAATTAGGTCAACTCACCTTTAAAAGTAACTCGTCCTTACGCCATTATCTGTATTTTCCACCCATTAAACCACCATGTACCATTGTAAAAAGAAATCCTCTTTGTGTAAATATAAGCAGGTTAATTGAAACTCGGTAAAAAAGAAAATAATGACAAATCCAGCCTGGCTGTATTTTTTGTGAACGCGTATCCAGGAAGTAGAGATATAGTCAAGGAAGTGAGAAAGAGAACACAACAGATGGTTTCATTACTGTGGAAATACTCAGGCGCCCACTAGTGGTCACACTGCAGTACTGAAAGTCGTGCTTATTGGACATGAGACTTAGAAGTAAACTGATAAATAAATATGTCTATGAAAAAATCCTGAACAAAAAATTAGGCAATAAATAAACAAGCAAATGTAAATAATAATATATATATAACTGAGTTATTATAGTGAAAACATCGTTTTTATTTAAAAAAATACTTTTGTGAAAGGGCTATTTGTATTATTGCATATACTTGTGGGGTTATTAAATAAATAAACAAGCCTGTGATGCAATACATGGATGTAAATATAAATGAATCAATTTAGTGAAGTTAATTAATAAAAAGGACCTAATTAAAAAAATTATCAAATTTCATATTTCCACTTAATTTTTTTATTTCAAGGGACGGTTATTAACTAAACAATCATATTTGTGGTTTCATCATTTTCCAAGAACTCTCTGTTGTCGTATTTTTACTTGAGCTTTATAAAATATGTACTCCACTATGTTTTCAAAGCAATGTATGTTCTTTGTACCCTACATTTACATCTGACAGCTGAAGTTACTTACTCACATTTTACATTAAAATAACATTATGATAAGCTCATGAGATACCGTGAATGGTTCAAATCTGTGGCCTTTTGACCTCTTACAACAACAGTGCCTACTTGGAGCCCTTTGTCATGTTTCAGATGTGTTTGAGTTGCTGTCACTCCCACCAAAGAGTGATTTCTCCACTAAAATGTTCAGATGGTTTCCCTCAAATATAAACACTCAAGGCCTAAAGTGGTCTAACAGAGATAAGTGAACATTTAGTGAATAGAAATGTTATTTTTCTCTTCTTTCGTACCTAACAATCATCTCACAACCGTCAAAACGCATCTTGTGATCCTTTGCATCAGTTACAATCATATAGTAATATATTTCAGTCTCGTCTGTCATCTCTCTGCAGTACTTTTATTTATGTGACACTTTAAGTACATTTTTATGATAGGAAAACTCTTGCCCTTTGGCTTGAACATGATTTTGAATGAAGGTCTTTTAGGTATAAATGAACAGTATTTAAACAAAGTTGTGTTGCTATTTTTACTCAACTAAAGTGCCTGATAGCTCTTCCACCCATTTTATTTTGACCCATGACAAACTCTGTAATCATAACAATGCCAGCAGACGTGCATGAATCCTGTTTTTCCAGATGCCACAGAGATTCCCGACAGGAAAGGGAAACAGGGATGCGAGGTGTGAGGGGGGAGACCGAAAGAAAGACTAAAACAGACCAGGCAAATTGTGGATGACGTCAGAGAAAACACTCGGGCCGAGCACCTGAAATGTTGTAGCCGGGTTTATTTCAGTCAGAAGCGAATGCCTGGTGCCCTTTCTGATAGACGACTATTGTGTTGTTTGACCAGGAAGGAGAAGAAGGAGAGAGGGGTTTAAGAGGTGGGGGTTGACCCGGGAGCTTTGCCCCAGCCGGGTCTGCTTTCCCCCGGGGACGGAGGATTTTCAGAAGTTGTGGTGCAGCTTTTCAGACGTGAACGGGGGTTTAAAATTGTAATGATGCATGTCTTTGCAGAAAGTTGTGTCTGATTCATTTGTACATACTCTCAAAATCATCAGAAACATACTTTAACTGACTCAAATATGTAATCAATTAGGGACACTTTTGTTTTTTTACACACTTATCCAGCACTTAACCCGCCCATAAAGCCGTTTTCTGGCCCTGCCTTTTACGTGAATGATATAAATCAACTTTATTGTCATTACATTTGCGTTTGCATGTGTGTGTGCGTGCATATGTGTGTGATCAGAGAGGTTAAGACAGGAAAACCCTGGCCATTGTGCGCCAGTGACCCCTCAAAATCAATGTGACAGACCGGTTGATTGGCTGGAGGGTCCTGTCTCTCTGCACCTAATCCCTCAAGGTAGACCCTCAGCCAGGCCTGCTGCGACTCTAAGTGTGTGTGTGTGTGCGTGCATATGTGTGTGTGTGTGGGTGTGGGTGTATCTGTGCTTGTATGTGTGTCTTTCTGCACCTAATCCCTCAAGATAGACCAAAGGCCACGGGATGGGGTATTAGTGCAGTTACAGGGGGTCAGGCTGGCATGTGTGTGAGAGAGAGTATGAGAAAGCTCGAGTGTGAGCACTACTCCACAGTAGTCCAATTAGGCTGCAGAGTACCTATGTATTTCTATAGGACTCAGTCATGTGCGGAGGTAGTAGTGGGTTTTAGGGGTGGGGTAGGCGGGGGCACATTTTCGGGCAGATTTGGACGGATAACGCAGTCGGAGCGAAATTAGACGCAGGCATCTGGATTTGACCTCGGGCCCTCGCTGTGACCCCGGGTCGCTCAGGGGTCGCGGGGCACAAAGCAGAGCGCTGACCCTGCACAGGTCAAGCATGCGGGCGGCTGAAAGGACGCCTTTGTGGGGGCCTGGCATGCTCACTATTTCCCATGAGCACCAGGGGACCGTGTCTGCCCAGGAAACTGGACCGGAGAGCGGGCCAGACAAGGTGTGTGTGTGGATGGAAACCATAATTGATTTTTGTTTATGTTTCTGCTTGTTTGCTTTTTGATTATCACTGACTGAAGGTCATAGTTTAGCCTGATTTTTATTTATTGCCTTGTCACTTAGCGTGTGTTGGTTTGCATTTTGGAGACTCAAAACAGTCAGGTATTTAAAAAAAAGTCCAACTTCAATTCATGTTTTTACTTCAGTTGAGGGATAACATACTGAAAAAACCAACCACCCATTAGTTTATACCCTTCCAAAACCAATACTTCTCTTAGATTCTGGAGACACACGGTGTTGTACTTGTGTTCATGTTTGTGTATCGCTGAGAGAGATATGGCTTGGATTTTTAGGTATGCCTGTGGTCGCCGCTTGTGTACATCTGTTAGCGCCTCCTTAATGAGCGCATGCACGCTGCCTGCAGTCCTGTGTGTGGCCCTCAGAGAGCAGAGAGGAGCCCTCTGCTCCAGTAATCACATTTAATTACGCAGCAGCATTAGACGGCCTATGAATAGGGTTTTTAGGCAGGCCTCTCGCACAGAAATTGGCTGCATCCAGCTGAACATTGCCCACCTTTGTCCTGCCCGTCCCCCTATGTTCTATTAAGACTTTGTCATTTGACCATCAGCAAAGCACTATGGTCTAGCACTAACAACTCCTGACTAATGCCACACATTAAAAAAAAAAGGGAAGGTAAAGGGAACAATAGGCGTTTTCTTGGCTGAACGGCTCACGTCTGCCCCATTAATGAAGCGAATGGACCACACATTACACTCCGTCCACAATTACATAGCACCTAGAAGCTCAGATAAAGGACGTATAGTCTGGTTCGCTCTGCTTATCTGAGGTTTAAGCTCAAATATGTGGGAGAAGAATTTACTTTGTTAATCTCCAGGGGGGTTCTTACTCTGTGAGATTTTGAAGATGACAACTCAGAACTTAAACCGTTAATGCTTTTACTTGCTGACGTTCCCAAATAAGGTTTGCATTTGGTTTTAAGGTATTCTGTGTAAACGTTGACAGTTATCAAACCATGTCCTTGTGTATTTGCTTATATACAGTATTAAAAAACACTGGTTGGTGTGTGTGTGTGTGTGTGTGTGTGTGTGTGTGTGTGTGTGTGTGTGTGTGTGTGTGTGTGTGTGTGTGTGTGTGTGTGTGTGTGTGTGTGTGTGTGTGTGTGTGTGTGTGTGTGTGTGTGTGTGTGTGTGTGTGTGTGTGTGTGTGTGTGTGTGTGTGTGTTGTGTGTGTGTGTGTGTGTGTGTGTGTGTGTGTGTGTACAAATCATAGGGCATTATTTGAAAAGCTCACAGCTGACTTCATTAGGAAGTTAATTGAAAATGCTGAGTAACATGCTTTAGCTATTTCACCTTTCATAGTTACATGCCCTTTTATTTTAAATCTGGTATATCATTCTGTTCATAATTGTTATTTTGTTCTCAATCCTTTAATGGTTATTGCTCATGATAACAATAATGAATCCTTATTTATTGTAATAATTGTATATTATAATATTGAGATTTATGAATAATAATAACAATCTAAAAGTGTAATATTGCACACCGTGACAACAAGATGTTTTCTGGGATGAATTACGAACTACATTTCATACCATTGCTTTTCCTAAAGCATTACTGGTATTTCATTTTTTTTAAATGAAATGTTTTGCTGTATTTCATAATCACTAGTAGTGCATCTTTTCTAATAATAAAGAATTTCTCATTATTTATTTTTCTCAGTATAACACCCTCTTGGGTTGGAGTTACATGGTGTTGATAAGCCTCTCGTCACGTTGTCTGTTTATGTGTTTGATTCCTCTTTTGACGGTAAACAAGGCTCACGTTCTGCATTAGTTGTTTTTAGGACACACACACACACACACACACACACACACACACACACACACACACTGAACGCGTCAGAGGTAGCGCCGAAACTGACCATAAATTCTGTGTGTTTTTAAACCGCCAGACTCATAAAGAGAAGATGTGACAGAGCAGCACTGATGGGTCAATACGGCCCCCATCCCACCACACACACACACACACACACACACACACACACACACACACACACACACACACACACACACACACACACACACACACACAGAGATACATCACACACAGGCAGTAACATTTGCATCAGAATGCTCTCATACTTGCATATCGTATACATATCTACACACAAACAAGCACATGATGTACAGTATGTAGGGACTCTCACGTGTGTATTAACACACACACACACACACACACACACACACACACACACACACACACACACACACACACACACACACACACACACACACACACACACAGGGCCTGAGTGTAGTGAATGGTGTGTTTGACTGGAACAGAATGACTGTGGGGATTCATGCTGGCTTTCCTCTATTAAACTCTGCAATAAGGCTCACTGTGTATGGGAGTGCTGACGTTCCCTGCC